TCACGGCTCTGAAATAAAAGATGTCAAAATGGTTCAGCCAAGCAGCATTATGACAAAGTTATACCAAAAGAAACAATATGAAAATGTAAATAATTTGATAAAAAAAAGATACACACAACCGAGCCATTGGGGGGCAATTATACGTGCTTGTGAATGTCTTCGCACTAGGTGTACGCATTTTTTTTGCCATGTCACGCACCAAACTGAGCGCAAAGGCAGGCACAAAACAATGGTAGGTCTATGTAAGATGACCGGACCAGTGTTAAACCAATGCTAGCCCAATCGCCGCGCAGTCTACTGCTTGACCACAGCTGTGCCGTCAGCAATAAGGTGGCCTTGAAGAGACACAATTATAGATTATATGTTGTTGTCATTGTGGTATGACGAATTTCAAAGGCTTACCTACATTGTAAAATATTTTCTGAATTTGTCTTTAGCTCTAGTTCTGTATTTCTATTTTTTTTTGGCGGATATGCTTGACCTGAGTTCATTCATGAAAATTATAGATACGAAACTAGTTGATGTATGTATATAGACACTTTTGGCTATCTGTGTTCTAAAAAAAAAATGCATTATAGCGACGGTGGCCGTGTTATGACACTTTTTGTGATACTAATTTTTTTTTTATGAAGAGCCTAGTGGTGGTTGGACATGTGCGTTTGAGATGAAATCCGTACAATTGTCACCATACACAATTCTCAGCAATGGTAACATTGCAAATGATCGACAAAGTGTCTTGACAACACACGGGACTATCAACAAATTAATTTCGAGCGAGTCCTGCATGATCCACCCGATATCAGGACTCCCAGCTTTATTAAAACTCCAAGCTGTTGCAACCCCGGGGGTACCAATACCGGATCTTTATGGTATGCTCCGAAAAGCAATGCGAATTTAATATCGGTGAATGTACACCCCCGCTGGCAATACATCAGCTGAATGCCTCGTCCTGCGGCAATACAACAGCGATAGCATCGCGATGACGATTGATAACGCGCAATATATACCTCCGCGATTTTACCCTTTAATAATTCCTTGTTGCAACCCATATATTCCTTTAAATTCGTTTTTCATTGCACCCCAGTTCAACACGATATATTTTATTTCTATGAATATGCTTTACATTTGTTAAGATAATTGGAAAAATTGACGAAAAAAACTGGCTGATTCGGTTTATTACGTCTGAAGACGTTCGTACGCATGCTCAGTAAAAGCTCTTTGCTGCCACCAAGCGCTCCGAGCATTTTTTCCCCCAGAAAGCACATAATATATAAAACTGTTTACTGTCTAATTCTGAATGGATTATTTTAAAGCTTAGACTCTTTACTTCAATCGATTTGCTTTCAAATAAGCAACGAACGATGTTTAAGCAAATGATAGAAACTTAAAAAAAAAACTCTTTAAAATGTCCCTCAATTTATCGACCTCTAGTATACATTCTGTATGAAATTAGTTGAACCATGAATAATATAAATTTGGGTAGCTTCAGTTGGGGTGTGGGGGGGGGGGGGGATTCAGCGATGGGAGTGAGGGAAATGCTGATCTAAACCCAGGTTTTTGTTTAAAATAAATTTCAACCAAACGGTTTGAACATTGAAGGCTTTTAGGAATATACACCTTTTTAACTGCAATTATTCAGTAATAAGGTAAACATGGCTTATTACGATAGCTTTGTTTACATTTCATGGTTTTGGAAGTGGTACTATGGTTGACAGTGACCACACTTTGAACAGCCAATGGGTATCAATAGACAGCGCCTGAACCATCATACAATGATGACATACAACCAACCCGCTATAATGCATGGCGCATTGATATGCAAAGTACAATAACACATTTGGTGAAGTAACAAAGAAGTTCCAACTGCACATAAGCTTGGACTCCCTGTCTCAATCTGTGGATCCGCCCCCAGTTTTGTCTTTCTATTTAAGGGGAAAGCATATAGATGTATCCAACCGTTTCTAATGATTTTTTTCTTTTGTTTATGCTTTTTTCATCTTACTTTACATCAGCTGCTCAATGGTCTCTTCAGTAGGCCTTGTGACTTGTTTCAAAATGCAAGCTGAATATCACATAAGCCGACACACTCTGGAGCATATATCAGGTTTAGTACTACAGGTAGGAACTAGGAACGCTCGCGCATGCGTCTTGCCAAGCAGCGATCAATACAACAAGTCCACAGTGTCCACTTCAGTTTTGTAACCTTAGAAAGGAATTTCTGTGGCCAAACAGGTGACGCGATATATGACGAAGTGCTCGCGTCGGTCAAAATGTAAAAAAAGTCTACACCGGAGTAAATGCTGGAACGGATACCAAACGGACGTGGCAAGAATCGGACGCCAATTCAAAATCCACTTATCTTGCTCGTGTAATGGACAAAGAGGAGTATCGCATATTTGTAACCTCCCCCCCGGCCCCTTCCGATTTTTTTTCTTCAAATAAACAAAAGGAGTCTAATGTTGTTCAATTTACTTTTGTGTTACAAACCCCTAAATACATCTAGCACCTCAATGTAATTGGGAGCTGTTTTGTTTGCATCCACCTAGAAAGAAGCTAAAAAAAGATACCGATCAAAGTGGACACTGAAATTGACCAAAACTAAAAAGATGTGCCAAATTTCATGGGATGATTAAAAACTGTAATGGCATATTTGCATAGCACAAAATAGGTAGAACACTGTAATTGTATTTCAAGTGTATGAGGTTCACATCTGCGATCTAGTTGCTCTTTATTGAGGCAGAATATACATACCGTTGAGAAGACATAATTCCAGCCTGCAGACATCGCAGGGCTCTGGTCGAGTTCCTACAGCCTTTCGCTTTATCATTCATCATTAGCCCTAGGCGTGAGTTAAATATCACATTTATTGGGTTTTCCTCAACGATAAACAATTTTTTTTGGAGAAACGCCCGTATCGAGTCTATTCTTTTTTTTTTATTAATGATGTCCCAAAAAGGCTCTTGAATAAGAAGATATAAAGAAGATTAAATATCGGTTGCCAAACCATCAGACATGTTGGCTGTTATGTATTGCGACAAGACAAAATCAAGCACGGCCGAAGGAATGCACTAACGATAATGCACAAAGCGTATAGCGCTGATGAAAATGTCTGGAAATGAAGTAATTATAGAGTGCACTTATACTTTGAACCGCGCAAACAGTTGATACAATCGAGCGTGTAGACTCGATCAGCGTCTTACCGTCTTTGGATCAGATCTGTGCAGTTTGTTTACGGGTAAATGCTAAGTTAGTGCTGTTGGATATAGCAAGAACGACTAATCTACGATCTGTTTATCTCTGACACACTCCGAGCTACAAAAACAGGTGACCTTTTCATCTCTTTATCATTGTAGTGACACGTACTCTTGTCAGTGTACGTGATTTGCCTTTTCCGGTTGCCTTTGCAAAGCTTTAAAAATAATCATTCTATTATTTGTCTATTTTCCCCTTTCAACGGCCAAGCGATACAACCATGCATCGGGTTGGCCTATGATAGTAATCTAATATCGACAATTAAATTGCATATAGTAACATAAACAGCCAAAGATGCATAGAGAATGCACATCGCAGAGGTTAAGACAATATTTGCTTAACATTGGTATGATACATGAGCGAAACATTAATAGAAATCTGTGTTTTTATAATACCTAGAACAGCTGCATGGACCAGTGGCTCAACTTATATGCTATTCATGCAAAAAAATGCATTCTTTTCCACCTGTCAAAAAATATTACTACGACATGTGTGAGCTAGGTCACCGTGAATATCGAACCAGATCGGCGGGGGTCAAGGCTCTGATCGCCCCACAAGCCTGCCAGCCAGAGCCCGATGGCAGAGCGGGTTCGTCCTCGGGCTTACAATCAACATTCGGGGTTGTACATGTTTTCATTTGATTATGATGGAATGCAGCACATGCCTTTGGGCTTCAATGCAGATGCCTCGACATGCAGTATTGACAGTGCTGATATGATCAATTATAGGTCAGGTGTAATCGGGATGAGCTTATTGTACTAATTGTCTCAATTGAATACCCGGATATTCATCTGCGATCGCATTCTGAGAAAAATGAGAGGCTTTCGAAAATACGTCATGCCTTCGATTAAGGAGATATAGGCCATGATCAACCCCTCATTTCTGTTCAGGTTCGTGATATGAAAATTATATGATGAAAAGTTCACACCTCCTTGCACAAAAGGGTGACGTTTTGCATTGAAAGTTGTCCCGTTGCGTACTAAGATAAAGATATGCGGGATGATTCATCAACAGAGGGCTTCCTAGATCCCCCCCACACTCTAGACTGGTTCCCGCCACATAAATATACACCTGCATGTGTGCACTTTTGCAGTCGGGAACAATCCTATTCGAATTCAGCATTATTTTTTTTTTAGGATGGCTACATTTCCCGCAATACGGACTCGTGTATCACGAAAGTCATTTTTTTCAGGATACATTTCCAGGGAGTTGATCATGGCCTAATATTAGCTCCTCATCTACGGGACACCAAAGAAATGAAGGGTCAATACTCTGCTCCGTGGTCATCAGTGTCTCGGTTTATTAGCCTATATGAGGCAGAGGTGTAGAGTATTCTCTTGAAGTAAGAGTGTTGGACACGACGAGGCTTTTGAAGTTTTCTGAAGCTATAGGCCAAGAGGCAAAGCCAACGCCGAGGTTTTATTGCGGTGGGCGGAGTTATGTGCCTTCCGTACAATGTAGGGCAAGGTATTATACCTGATTAATTCCACTACTTCCCTTGTTTACCAACATTGCTATTGTATCATTGAAATAACCTGGTATCGACAGATGGACAAATAAATGTATTGACTGCATCAAGGTCAATGTCGAGTTGGATTTCATTGTGTAACTGAAACCAAGGTTGAAGGTTGTTGTGTAACCACAGTCGTTTCCAGGATTTCGGAAATTGGGTCACTAGTTCGGGGTCCAACTATGGTCCAACCAACAAGAATAATGAACGTTCAAGTCTGCGACTGTTCTTTGTGCAGGTATATTTGCTTCCGCTCCTCACCGTCGACTTCGACACGACCTGTTCTACAATAACAGCTCCTACGACATATCGGTCCGTCCGGTCAAGAACGACAGTCGCCCAACAGTCGTCGAGATGCAGTTCTTCGTAGCCCAGGTGTTGGACGTGGTAAGTTTCGCTCGTACCCACCGCACAAACAGGGCGATGAGAAGGGCTAATCCTCTTCACAAAAATCTTGTGAAGGAAGCACAGAAGCGCAAAGCATTGTGGGTAGCTAACTGCCACATCCAATGCACTAACTGTGCACACTTGTCAGGCGCATGCGCAAATCGTGACCCTTGTTATTGTTTAAACATATTCTATCCAATGAGGGCTCGACGAAATTACGTCATACATACAGAGGAAATTAGCCCTTCCCAGCACTCTGTTTGGGTGGTGGGTTCAATCCGAGAGAAGTGGTAAATAGGATAGAAAAAAACATGAGGGCGCCCTCTGATAAACAATGATTTGCCTGGCAGTGACAAACTGAGGGATTTCCGGCTCCCGCTTCGGTTTCAGGACATTTTGTGTTAGTGGCTTGTGAGACTTGATCTTTTCCATGTTGGTCAATTAAAAACAACCGACGAACCATCCAATCAACACGAGGTCAAAATTTGTAGTATTTCAATTATTTTCTGACAATTAAGGCTTTCTATGAAGTCAAAGCCGGTACAAAAACGACGATTCGTAATCTGTCAATCGATGTCATCCTTCTTTGCATTTGATTAATTCGTAACTTTGTGGCAAAGTCTTGAAAGGCCGTTGGAATTCTCAGTGACTGTCTTTTTCATTCTGCGTTCCCCTACAGGACGAACGGCTGGAAACATTCAAAATCAACGCCTGGCTGACAATGGTAAGGACAACTCAAAGATAAATTCTCATATTTTGTATGAAAAGAGTGTTGTTTGCCTAATTTATGTTCACTTACGATCAATTCAGTCTGCTCATTAAAATGCTCATCGTGCAAAATAAGTGGCATGTTGGCAAAAGTGGCGAGGATATTAACATATTTGTTTTGTGTGATTTTTTCCCGTTAGAGATGGAAGGACGAGTATCTGGTCTGGGACCCAAACGACTACAACGGACTCAAAAATTTTAAGATTCCAAAGGAAAAATTGTGGATGCCCGACCTCTGGTTATACAACAAGTAAGCAAAAAACCCCCAACAAGCAACAAACCAAATTAAGCCAACCGCAATGATATATTTTATCAATAAACAATCATTAAAATAATTTTCATGCATTTCAAAATATAGAACTATAGATCCGCAACGATTAAAAAGTCCCAAGCGCGGCTCACATTGACCCCCGGATGTCCGCGTGCATTATCGTCAAACCACTTACTGATGAGCTTAACATTCATCATTAACCTCATTATAAATTATTGTGGAATGTCAAACTTTGAAGAGGCGTATAGCTGTTTCGAGACTCTGTAGCTGGCCGTTGACCGTTTCAGGAATCCTGCCATCTTGAATTAAATTTGAGGTCATGCATGCTCTTTGAAGGAAAGCACATTGGTCCAAACGTGTGCTCAACACACCTGTCACCTGACATGAGCAAGTTTGAGCGGAAACCATGGTGAACATAGTTCGACTGACGACATAAGTCGACTAGACTGGATCTTATTCCGGGCACAGTTGTATAGCTGGTTTTAAGTGCAAAGGAAACCGTTGATATATTAAAAGCTGTGCGAACAGCTGGCAGCCGCTAGAGCAAAGAGAAACGGAACCAACAGAGTAAAACATACTAACCATGAGATTTCGTAGATCGTTCTCAGCCTCGATCGCTCGAGCGGGACTGTCAATGCGCTGGCGCACTGGTCAGAGGAGAATGACTAATCATGAACCGTAATTTGCGCTCGAACTTGCTCCACCATCGCTGTCTATCTTTACTGAGTTCATGAGATAACACGTGAGAACACAATACAAAGAAAAACATTCTTGAAAGACCCGGGTCATCTTCGACTCGGATCCCACACTTTTGAGATGAAAATGACACTTCTCTTGGTTACTTCTCTGGGCAATATGACCCAGAAGAGAGTCATTTTGACACGTGTTATTTTTACTCCCAAAAGGTCAAATTCACTCAAAACCTGTCATTTTGACCCAGTAGCGTGTCAGGTCATATTTGGCCCGGATTCAGGCTCGATTCTGACCGGGAACTTTCAGGCGTGCAGGCAACAATTATTGAGTAATTGATTCTGTGTCCTGTTTGGTTCTGCAGTGCAGGGAGCCGTTACGACGATTACGCCAAAAACTCCATCTGCAGCGTATATTACGATGGCAGGGTAGTGTGGCAGTCGCCCTCTATCATCATGACACACTGCCAGATGGACGTGACCAACTTCCCATTCGACAGACAGAACTGTGAGGTTCAGTTTGGTCCGTGGCAGCACGGAGCCGATGAAATTATTCTGGAAGGAACTGGTAAGTCCAAAACACTTTAAAAATGGACCACATTTGGGACATATGAGTGACCTGCTGTATTCTTTTTTTCCTTTAAAAAGATGAGAGAGTTAACCAATACTATTTTATCCGACGATTGGGTGAAATTATTCACTAGTATTTGAATTTGATTTTGTTATTTTGATAAAAATATTATCAAATTTATGAAAGAATTTACCCAGAAGGTACACAGTACACATTTATTTAGGGTGCATGTACCAATCAAAATTTATGTTGGGCCGGTGTCATAATGTTTCCATCCCTATGAAATTTAGGCGGCTTGTCTTGTATGGACCACATACATGCGCATTTTAGAAATGTGATACGTAAAAGGATTGGGTTGGAAGTGCCGGACATGCTACTACCCACATTTTGAGGAAAACATGTCTTTTCGGTATTTTTTTGAAATTATGACTATATCCATTGAGTGGGCTAAAGAAAATTGAGACACCCAAGTGGACCCTACAAAAACACCAATGGTAAAAGAGAAAAGGAGACAAAAACTATGACATCTTACTGGTCGAAACAGCATTGTACATGAAGTCTGGTCCTCACAAGTTTATCAAAAGTCAAAAAGCTCAAGCCATATCGCAAGTTATTCTTATGATCAGAAAAGGCGTGCCATCATTGTTCAACCCTACTTGTATGACCATGCTTGCAATTTGACCTGCGATTTACCGCGGGGTTTGTCTTGTGATAGACTTACAATTGACTACAACTGTTGTATAAAGTCTCCATAGCTTTACATTCAAGGATTGACTTTGTTCCATCTTGCCCCAGGTTCTGCTGATCGCTACCTCCGGAGTTCTGGGGAGTGGTCTCTGATGAACTTCACCGCCTCTAACGGCTTGGAGGGCTACCAAATCTACCCGGACGACCCCGAGGTACCTTTTACCTTCGTGACCTACTCAGTGGAGTTGCGGCGTATCCCTACGTACTTCGTCTTCTACCTGATCATGCCCTGCGTCTTGATAGCCTGTACCACGCTACTAAGCTTCTTCCTACCCGCAGAGTCTGGTGAGAAGGTCAGCTTGAGCATCACCGTGCTCCTGTCGCTGACCGTCTTCCTGCTCCTGGTGGCCGAGCTTCTCCCTCCGTCTGGAGCCGTGCCGATCGTCGGTAAGATTCTTTACGATTGTAACGCCATTATCAGGAAGTTAGGCAGATTATACGGACAGGGTTGCGTTGTTATTGTGAGAAAAAACACTCGGATGAGAGAAAAGACTTTGCTTATGAAACCCGTGCTCACAAATTTACACCTAAACGTTTGCACTGAACTTATTTAATGGGTGAAGTGCGCAAGTGCAGATTGATATTCCCAGAATAATGTAGTCGAGTCTGTCATAAACCAATCATTATCATCACAAGTCCGTCACAAGTCCATCCTACGTCGATCACAAGTCAGTTACAAGTCACGTTACAAGACACAAGAGACTATTAAGCAAATACGAATGGGCTCTTTTGAATATGGTTACCAAAAACATGGCACACAAAAACATGAATTAAACCAACTTTGTCTGAACTACCGTCCCCAAACTAATAAAAGTATCTTTTGAGAATACTGCTAAATAATACATAGGCCTATATTTCTTTCTCAGCCATCTACTACGCCTCTACTATGGTCATGGTGTCACTGTCGTTAGCCATGTCTGTCGTGGTTCTTAACCTTCATCACATGGGACCAGCCCCGCAACCCGTCCCCCAATGGCTGCGTAGTCTCATCCTCAGCAAGTTCGGCAGACTGATCCTGATGCGAAAACTGACGGCCTTCGACAAAAAAGTGGTCAGGGATTCCAAAAACAACAACGGATGTGTGGGCAAGCGACGGCACAAGCGACCCATGAGGAAACTTTTCGCAAACGTGGAGCTGAAGGGGACATTTGAGAACGATCACGTGGTCGGGACAACCATCAGCCTGGACGGGAACAGCTCGTCCTCTGGGAACGAGAGCGAGAAGCGCCGACGACCCCACCCCTTAGGTCAACACATGAGGGCGGTCTCCACGCCTTCCATTCCCTCCTACCCGGAGGAGAGTTCACGCCAAATGGCCATGCTGCGGCAAATCCTGGACGAGTTCAAATGCATCCGGGAGAATTTCGAAGCCAAGGATAAAGAGGAAACGATGCGCGCTGAATGGAAACAGGTAGCGCTGGTGGTTGATCGGATCTTCATGGTGCTGTATGTGATCGGCATGCTGGCGACTCTTTTCATCATTATTGGCCACATTACATGAAACAGCCGTCACCTAAGGAGTTAATCCGATCCTGCCTCATCCAAGTCACACGATCGTCTTCCAGTAAATAAGGCTTTCGCACAATTTTGATACTCCCTTTTGGGTTTTGTGCTTTTGTGTTTTCATTATTTGTGAAGGACACACAGGCGATGAAGCATTGTGGGAAGGTCGATTACCATAAATAATGCACGTGCATTTCATGCGCACGTGTCGTGCGCAAGTGCGTTCCTATATTGGGTAAACAAGCGCTCGAAAGAAAGTGGTGATCATCAACAGGCGAAAATGGTTTTGAAAGGACACCCTCATTGCATCAAGATTAGACTACAAAGGGTGTCGTTGTAGACAAGATAAACTACCTCATATGAGCGAAACTGCGGAATGCATCAGGTTTCCGCGCGTGTAAATATCTTTTTTTAATGATTGAATTATTGTGTGATTTTCCCTGGAGGATGTGAATGAAGTTATTGCAATGTAACTGACAAAGCCTCCTTTTTTTAAGGCCAATTTGCCGCTTTGCGATTAATTTCGTCAAGAAAAGAAAAACCAGATCATTTAGTTCTTCATGAAGTCAACTTCGTTATTGACTTTTATGAAGCCTACAATCCCGAATCTGTGAAATTCAATGCAACTATGGATTGCGTAAAGAGCTTTAACTCAGTTGACTGAGATCTGTAGCTAAACTAACACGAGGACACATTTTGTTTAGTTTCGGTTGAACCTTTGACCTCTGGCTTAACCTGAAAGTGTCCTCGTGTTCGAAACAGTAGAGGGCGCTATCTGTTTTCTTTTAACAGAAAAATGGCGAAGAGGTTGTACGATTTGGACCTCGTTAGTTGAAAGGTGAAAGCAACCGGACTTGTGTTCTCAGTTGTAGTAGATTGTTGTTTCTGTATTGGCTAGAGATCTTGGATAACATGCAGGGAAAGGTACGACAAGAGGCCCGGAATGGACACCGAATGATCAGGTAACGATGCGTCAATTAATGTACACAATCACCACACAGCCTGAGTGTGTGACTTTCATTTTGTGTTCAGCTTTTAGGACCAAAGCCCAATTTCATTGCGCTGCTTTTGTAAAACGAATAATCCCTGCTCACTGTAGCGCAACATTTTGTGGTTATCGTTAGCGTATTTCTCGGATTAGCGAGGAATTTTTGGCATGTGCGCATCGAGGCGCATGTAAGGATTTTGTGCTTACATGCGCAGTCAGCTGAATACGTGCACAAGCGATAATATTTATTTATTTTAAATATTTCGTTTCCGCCAAAGAACTGTTTGCCTGTTCCACAAAATATTTATGTGCTGAGCAGCTAGCTTCGTGGAATTGGCCAATGTTTTGTTTGGAAGGAATCCGATTGATATTTATATTCAATGATTTCAAGTATGATCGTCTGTGATTTCTCTTTAATGAGCAAATATCATTTCTTCCAAAGGAACGGCGTTTTTTTTGTGTGAAATACATGAAATAATGTATTTGCAACACTCCCGTTGGGATTCTGTAAATATATTTGTAGGCCTAATGTTTTGCATTGAATATCCTAATCATTAGAATCGGCCGGTTCGATATTATTATCCCAATTTAAAGCTCTTTTGTTTTCAAGTTTAACATGTATATTTATTTGTATTGTTATTTAACAACACATTTTCAATTTTGTTCCCGATATTTTTTTGGTCATAAGAACCCTGGATAAACGACTTCACAATGTTATCATCAGATACTGCAGGTTAAGAAGTCGATTCAAGTTTATTGACTTAACTTACTTTTATTAAACTATATTAAATGACCGTTATTTACCTGCAAAATGGCGTCCCAGTGCACTGATGAATGTCCTTTTTACAAAAACACATCATTGTTATTGGTAGAGCGTAATTGATTTTGAATGATGGATGAAGTTATGGGTATTACCTAGTGATACACATCAATAAATGACCGTTTTCCCGATGCCTGTGTATTTTGTTGATTATTGTAGTCACAAAGCAACAATCACGAATATCTTTGCCATCACCATGATCACCATGGCAACTTCCACTATGACCAATTGAGGTCGCCCTTTGGGCAGTCCAGTCAGATTCCAGGGTGGTGCCGATCAGGTAACCTATTAAAGCATGCATTGCAACTCTAAGGATTTCCTTCCCTATTTGGATTAGCTTACACACTTGTTGGGTGAGGAGAGGGGCGTGTCCATGTTTGGAGCCAAGGGGAGGGGTTGGGTGAAATGAAAACGGCTCTTTGAAGGTAAACCACATTTTCTTCCGCTTACAATTTTTTTTACGCATTACAAGGGCGGATCCAGGAATGTTTGCGGGGGGGGGGGGGGGTTCATCATCAAATTAATGCTGAATGTAGACCGTTTTTCCCCGGACACTTAACCTCCGTAAAATCAATAGGAGGGGTGGGGGTGGTGGGGGGTGGGGGGTGGGGGGGGGGTGGGGGAGTGGGGGGTGACATACTTTCAACGGGGCGCTGTTCAAATAATCCGACCATCAAATCATCGGACGAACACTATATTACAGAATAGTGTACACAGAATAGTGTACAAATACCCCCGTAACCCAGCAGGCTCTGTCCATATTTTGTGCACAGGCGGACATTATTACCAGTATAATTATTTGTGGGTGTCAGAGCAGGGAGAAGGGGGGGGGGGGAGGGGGCGGTTCACATTATTTGTATGTCTTTCTATGAAAAACAATTGAGTCAGACCTGTTTTTTTTTTACCCCCAAACCCCCCTCTGGATCCGCGCCTGCATTATAATAGACCCGTATAGCTCGTTGTTTAACTCTTTAAGAGTAGGAAGGCAGGAATCAACCCTCTATCATCATCGTGTTTTTAGCTTATGAATTCACGGAAATTTTTACACTAATTTCATAAATATAGGGCATATAAGTTTCGGGCATAAATAAGCTTTCATATATAAACGTCATCATTTCAAGCTCTGTCTTTAAGGGCTTTGTACTGACCAGAAAGTGGGCGGAGAGTATCGCTAAAGTGGGGGTATTTGTGAGTATTAATGGATCATAACGTAAAAATGACTCCGCGTTCTTTTGTATCGAACAGAAAATTATTACAAACCAAGGTATACAATATCTCCGATATCAATTTATTGATGTTCACTAAGTCCGACATCATGCAACTTAAAATAAAATGTGAAAATAGTATCCAAAAAGGTACAATGCCTGTCATACAGATGCAATTTTCAGAAATAGAATATAATAATGTCGTTTCAAACTGTAAATATTCAATGCGTTTGTACTATTTTTTTACTTGGATCGAAGCCATTATGTGAAATCTTGTTATAGCATCATTTTGCATCCCCCAAAATAAATTACTGCATAGTTATCAAAATAAGCTCATGCGTGGATTAAAAATCGTACTCGTATTAAACGACATGTGAAATTATATTGTCTTTATTGCTGTCATTTAAAAAAAAGCAAGAAATGCACGTGATTTTAAGTTATCAGTCAACATTATTGACATATTTTTGGAATAAAGAATGCTAATGACCAAATCGAGTTTCACGACCAAAAGGTTGTGAATTTGTTTTTTTAACTGAAACTTCAACAGGTTAGGCTTTGAAAATTCTTATTTTGATTTTGAGGGGTATTATCATTGAAAACGAACAAAATGCATGAAAATAAAATAAATCTATATGCCTTAAAATGTGAAACATAGTGTAAAAATGATGCTAGATACATCAATAATGTGCACACAAATTTAACATTAATATTCCGGTAAAAGACCTTTATAAAATTCAACTCACTTGTTTTAAGATATTTTATCTTTGCTACAGTTCTATTTGTTAGCCTTTGCTAAACTACTTTATGAAATGGAAAGAGTATCTTACAAAACAACCCCATTCTAAAGCTGAAGATGTATTCCATCTGCTGTTACACAATAAGCAATACTTATACACACTTTGATGACATGTCTTATTTGAAAAAAAAACGTGTTCAGCTTACACTTTATTATAGGACTGGTAAACATCTTACTAAAATACTTGCACCAAAAGCTGATGTTTGTTGCATGATTATTTATTTTCAATTAACTTACAATCACCATTTAGGCACAACGGATCATTTGCATTTATCCCAAAAGTAACCCATCAAATTATCAAAAAAAAAACTTACTTGGATTAAAGATCGTACTTGGAGTAAACACCCCTTGAAATTATCCCACCTGGCTTCTTGTCATTTTTAGACTAAATCAAGAAGCTAGTTGATATTTAACGATCTCTTAACTGACTAAAGTTTTCAAAAGCAAGAGTGCTAGTGACGAAACAGTGCTTCGTGGACTAAATCTTGTGTGTGGGGTTTCACTGTTTTCAGGGGAAAGCACTTTCCACTGATCTGAAACTTCAACAGGTTAGGTTTGATCATTCTTTTCTGGATTTAGAGTGGTGTTATTTTTAGTAACGAATAATATGCATGAAAAGCAACTGATCCTATGTGCTTTTAATAAAATAATACACAGTTTTCTTTACAAGATTGCAATTTCGAGAAACGAAAATACATGTTTTGCAAAATCTGTTGTTTTCTTTAGAATGTCATTAGATGTCAAATAAACGATTAAAGTGCTCAGGAAAACAGAATGAGTGTTTGCAACGAAAACTAAAATGTATAGTTCCCCACTTGAACAAGACGACGTAAAACTCTTCACAACCATTTTATTGTTTTAAAATTATTCACAATCATTTGAAAACAATTAACAACTATTTTATTCAAATTTGGTTTTGCCCTTCACCGACGTTTTTTAAACACTGTATACTCAGTGTGTTACCTCCCGAGTGAAAGTTGGAAAAAATCACTCGGTTGGGACTCGAACCCACGACCTCCTGCTTTCTAGTGCAGATGTCTTACCACTCGACCACTGAGCTAACAGGATCGGTTGGCTGGTTCGAATCTGATGTACATAGCAGCGGGTACCGCATAAACTATTACAAGATGGAATTTTTGCGTCGGGGTGATATAAATCAAATTTGGTTTTGCCCTTCACCGACGTTTTTTTAAAAAACACCCCGACGCAAAAATATCACCCCGACGCAAAAATTCCATCTTGTAAAACTATTTTATTGTTTTATTCAGGTCTACCTTTTCAGTGTAATATTTTTCTTTATGGAAATGAGAAATGATATTGGTATTTTTTAAAACTCATTTCCTTTCACATCTAGTTTCTTAGATACTTTTTGACATTCCTTTAACATGATGCTTAATTGCATAAACATGCATTCACAATATTCTTCTTGTTCCAATTTATTATATAAAACTTTCATTGACTATTCTTTCAGGCGGGGCATAGATTTATTTATGACACTTGGTTTTACTAAAGCTGATATTTATGCATTTTTTTTAGTCATTCTGTTTTGAAGTTTCATTTGACCAGAACAGCGCTGTGTGTTCATTATTATGACGGCAGCAATTCAAGGTCTGATCGGCAAATACAAATGATAAGTTGTTTAGCTGGTCGCTGGAATTTTAAATTAATTCTTGGAAAAACCCACACAACTGTGTTTATTTTGTTTGTGTTTCATGTTCAGGAATGTTTAGCGTAGTGTCTCTGACAATCCTCATGTGACTCGTTCGAGTTGAGAGAAAATAAGGAAGGAAATTCAAGTCTAAGAAGCAAGAAAGGGATGAGGGAAAACAGTTCTTGACAGAAACCACGTGATGCAGTTGTAGTTTTGGCCCTTTATGGGAATCGAACCGGAGCCACTAGATTTTTCAATGATGGTGCAATAAGAGTGCAGACGACCACCTCAAATGTAAGAGAACAAATCCGATGCAATCAGCCACGATTCAGAGTAAATTCAGCCTGAAAGAAACTCTAGTTGGATGTGATTCTCGTGATATAGGCAAGAGACAAGAAAAGCGCATAGCCTGATTGAGTATAAAGACAACAACAAAGTAGCCCTGGTTGGATTTGAACCGTGGACAAGGGAAGATGAAAGGCAAAGAAACTACTTATAGCACTACGTAAAGTTGAGACTTTCCTCATTGTCAAGATGTGAACCGGGTACCGATTGCCTAGAGGCAAGCAAGCACTGCAATGCTTAGTCAAGTAATGAAGTAACCATGACAGGATTTGAACCGGGGACAAGGGAAGGTATAGTAGACAGGGGAAGTATACGTATTAGCTGCGTCAATCCACACAGCCTAGGTGTGAATCTGGTACCGATTGCGTAGAGGCAGGTAAGCAATGAAATGCTTTGTCAATTAATGCAGTAGCCCTGACGGGATTTGAACCGGGGACATGGGAAGGTAGTAGACAAGGGAAGAAGCACTACGTAAGCTGGATCAAACCACACAGCCTAGATATGAACCTGGTACCGATTGTGTTGAGACACTACAATGCCAATTTAATTATGCAGAAGTCCTGACTGGATTTGAACCGTAGACATGCTGAGGTGGAAGGCAAAGGCATACTGTTTCATTTCAGAAAGCTGTGAATTCACGACGACCTCGGAAATGAACCAGCTACCAGAGGACAGAGGCAAATAGAAAATCACTTTATTAAGCTCAATCAATCCTCGATGACGTAGGCATGTTATCTTTTCGTTTTTTAAGTTTTATAATCTTTTTTCATCAATTGATTGACCACCTATTACTTTTACATTGTGCCAAATCGGCTTAAAGTTGGTAACCCATGCTCTTCAACAAACTTTATTTTCTTCTCATAATCCGTTTTTAACTTGTATGTTTTGATCCACCGACAAAACCTCCTTTGCGTATTTTTGGACGTCTGCAACCTTCTAAAAATGATTTTTGTTTTTGGCACCAAAGAAATCCACTTTGCGAGCAGACTCACTCTCGGTCCGTACACTATCGATACTGATTTTTGGGCGGGGACCAACCTACCCGCGAGAACGGAATTTTTGTCTGACAGCCAATAGTTCAAAATTGTAAAGTAATAATTTAACAACTAAACATGGGCCGATTATTCTTCGGTCGATGTCTCATTCCGAAGTGAATAATTTTTGTATCCATAATAATGGCAACTTAGAAAATGAATCCATTTTTTTTCGGGATGAAACTGAAAACTGAATAGCGCAATGAAGAAAATAAAATAAAAAAAGCCATGTCGATGGTTTACTTTCACTGGCATATGTGTCATCCATTTTTATTTGAACTTTGCAACGATGTGTCAGCACATTAATGCCATCTCTCTTTATCAGTTAATTAAACATAGGTGACATTTGGAAGATTTCTCTTGACCACCTGCTTGACACTTTCTGCGTTGGGACCACTGTAATCAAGATGAAACGTCCGTAGTTGAGGCAGACGTATCCCGAGTCGAGCAGTAAGCATTGCCACTCCAGAAATACTGAATCCATTTCCGGGAACAGCAAGCCACCTTAAACGTTGCCAAGCATGCAAGATTGTGATCAGTTCTGGGAGGTCATCGTCATTCAGTCCACATGTGTCTAATGTCAACGAAGACAAAGACCAACGAGCAAGAAAATCCATAATAAAAAGAAATCCGTGGAGGTTGGTATCGGACACAGTTAAGCGTTCCAACCCATCATATCCATATAGTGCGATCTCTAATCTACGGACGTCTTTATACGTTCGTTTACGCAGTTTGACTTCCTCGATCTGATTGCATACACGGGATCCTAACAAACGCTCATCGTCAAAGTGAGACATCTCATTAATCTCCAGATGGAGCTCAATTTGACCACGAAGCCTCTCATCCATCCCTTCAAGTGTTTCTTCTAAGGTCTGCACCTCCTCGGTCGCTTGTTCAGACATAATGTAAGTGACTCTGAACGGTTTCAGTGCCACAAATCCTGTGTCAGGCCTGATGTTATAATTCAGTAGTATCTCCCTCAGCAGCTTCAGGTCTTCTTGCGATCTACAAGTGATAAGAAAATCAGGATGTATTGCAGTGTGGCCACGCAGTTGATCATTAATATCCTTCAGCAGCACCAATTCGTCATGCGAACTGCTGAGGAAAGTGAAGCTCGTAAGTTCTACTAGTGGCTTACGGAGACACTGCAAGTAATAGCGCATCGCTAACAGATCCTCCTGATTATTACATGCCGCGTCATCTGGCCGGTCTAGTTTATCAGCCATTTCGTCGGAACCAGACTCAAATAACATCAGGCGTACCAGATTCTGCAGTGTAACCTCGTCACGCCATCTTCCTTTGTTACGTTGTTGTTGTACGTGCTCCAGGATGAGCCCAGTAGCCGCAGACCCCGACGATATGCCGCATGCAAACCGAAGCAGATATTCCATTGCACGGACATTGTCTGGATTGATCTGCTGCAACCTCTCATGGAACTCCTGTGGTTGGTGATGCAGATTGGCAAAGTAGTTTGCTGCACAGAATTCTTGGATGGTCTTGTGTAAGAATGTTACTACTTCTATCTCCCTCAAGCCACTCGTGAAACTTTCTTGTTGAAGGAAACCCAATCGAACACCATCCTGTGTTAAGTCATTCTCATCAAATTCCTCGGAGGAGAACACCAGCCTTTCCCCTTTGGGGTCTAGTAACCCATTCAGAGCGACTCGCCCCAGTCCACACACGACTGATTGCATCAACTCCACCTCATCCTCGCCTTCATTGCGACGGCGACTGACTAGAGCCCTAGCAAACTCTGTGTATAGCTCCGTTAATTTCTCGGGCAATCTCGACAGATTTCTCCAAACTACGCACAGGAAGAGTACAATGATTGGAATCTGGGCCAGTGTGCGCATCATTGAGCTGGACATTATGTGTGAAATTAATAATAACCTTTTGTTTGCGTCATATTTGTTAGCAAAGTAGGATGTTATGTATTTCTTTGCAGTTTCGATCGTGAAGCCCAGTGTTCGAACGTGGGCGTAGTGCGGGTATTCCTTGATGGCAAAATCAACCATGTGTGGCCGAGTTGATACTAAGACAGTGCTGCGTGTCAGCACCTTGTTATGCAAGATATCCTTGACCCCATAGCCACCTTCAGGTGCTGGAGAATTCAGAACATCGAGAGGAATCTCATCTAATCCGTCCAGTAGGAAAGCTGTATCCGCTTCGTTATCATCAATAAGTTTCTTCAAAACTGCCTTCTTAAAGTTTGGTAAAATTTGGTCGCGTATGGCCTCAAGGACGCAACTTGTCTGTTGCATATCCCTCAACTTCACCAGGAACACAAGTTTGAACTTAGCCATCACGGAATTCGGATCAGTACTCGCATTTGCAACTCTCAATAAAAGAGTTGACTTGCCAAATCCTGCCAATCCTGAAAGAAGGATCCTGAGCTTTCCGACTACATCTTTAAACATGTCTCCCCAAGAGTCTAGAGGCTTTGTTCTAACTTTATCTAAATTCCGTGTCCCCTCTGGTAAATGAATGGGTTCTTGTGTCGTCTCATTACCTTCTAATTCCTGAGTGAGTTCTAATTCAGAAAAGAACTGATCAATAGCCACGGTCCTGGAAGGATCTAAGGGGTGTGCAGGGATGGTACTTGTTGTGGCCTTGTAGTACTGGATAAGCTGCTGCTGACAGCGCTCCAGAACGGTCACCACTCTGGAGAAACAGCAACACATCTTTTGCCTTGTTCCTAAAACGAGAAGAAAATTCGTGTCAGTGTTTTCTTTTTAATATCCGCAGTGAAACAATAGAAAAGAACATTTTAAGAGAAAGTCATCGTTTAAGATTGAAGTAAACACTGAAAAAGAATAACTTCTATCGAAACTCGAGTAAAAACTCGATCTTTTTGATTGAATGAATTAATCCTTGGAAATAAGAGAGTATTTATTTGTTTGTCATCTCAATTAGGGAAGAGAATTCAAGAGGCCCAGGACACCCCCAAAAGAAGAAGAAGAAGAAGAAGAAGAGGAAGAAGAAGAGGAAGAGGAAGAGGAAGAGGAAGAGGAAGAGGAAGAGGAAGAGGAAGAGGAAGAGGAAGAGGAAGAGGAAGAGGAAGAGGAAGAGGAAGAGGAAGAGGAAGAGGAAGAGGAAGAGGAAGAGGAAGAGGAAGAGGAAGAGGAAGAGGAAGAGGAAGAGGAAGAGGAAGAGGAAGAGGAAGAGGAAGAGGAAGAGGAAGAGGAAGAGGAAGAGGAAGAGGAAGAGGAAGAGGAAGAGGAAGAGGAAGAGGAAGAGGAAGAGGAAGAGGAAGAGGAAGAGGAAGAGGAAGAGGAAGAGGAAGAGGAAGAGGAAGAGGAAGAGGAAGAGGAAGAGGAAGAGGAAGAGGAAGAGGAAGAGGAAGAGGAAGAGGAAGAGGAAGAGGAAGAGGAAGAGGAAGAGGAAGAGGAAGAGGAAGAAAATCAAGACGACCCCCGACCCCACCTTTTTGACTCCGACAAAATTCATTGTAACAGTTCAAACTGATGGCCATTTGAGTTTTCTTTGGTTTCTAAGCAGGCTAAACTTGAACGAACTAAGAGGTGCTCCTTTAACAGTTTTTCTTTTGGTGGTTAAATGCGTTTTAATTGTTAATTAGTGCCTGTGTGAAACGAAGTTTTACAATGAAGACTTGGATCGAATTTTAGAAGCAATCGCTACTGAATGCTCTAAACCAGTACAGATCGGGTTCAAAATAAACAACTGAACGAGTTTTATAAGCAGTTTTTTTTAAATTGCGTTTCCAGGGTTCTTCAACAAATTTTTTTCTTCTTATAAATTTTCAACTGTGCTATTTTACTCCAAACTTGCCTGTCTGGGCCCCCCTAATAAGCACGGCGCTCGCTGGGTGTAATGTTTACATTAATATCTGGCCTGGACATGTCTAATGATTTGACTCATTATGAATTCGGAATATTTGTATGCGCCCATCAAAGCAGCGATATGCATGACATGTCCACAGAGAGGACCCATGATAGCCAACCCATATTACTGGGGAAGCATCCATTATTAAAGTGGGGATACCATTAGCTTGTTTGACCAATGCACGCTTCTTTCTTATTTTCTCTTTTTTTGAACGATTTTCATTATTATTATTACACTCAGTGGTTAATTTGAAAATGTGTAAAAAAAAAAAAAAAATCGACCCCTCGAGCAATCGATTCGCTCCAGGCTATTTTGCATGGTGAGGCATTCACCACACAAGTCATGTGTACATACACGTGCACTGAGACGCTTAATTCCTAGGTGCAAAATAAATATTCATATCCTCCTGATTATTAACCAATTAGAGTGCTCCATCCAATTTTGGCAGCATAGCAAGTCCCATACGTTGTGTGCAAACCCGGATACATATATTCAGGGAGGGACGGATGGGGGGGGGGGGGTCTGAGAGCCGAGCGCTTACGGCGATCTGTGTGCCTCTTCCGTTCGTAAAAAAAAAGGGGTGTGTAAAATAGTGATGTAAGAAACATCCCTTTTGAAGTCGTAATTTTAACACTTTCTGGTTTCTACAGACGTTATTAAAACTCTTGTTCCATACTAAAATTGTATGTTAGTCCAATATCGAAAGAAAAAAATTCTAGAAAAGAACCTGATTCGTTTCGTTTAGTCATGCAGTGAATCCTGCGAGCGACTACGGCACTTGCTCGAATGCTCTTACCGTGAAGTGGCACCCTCTATATTTGACGCCGCGCCCTACAATTCCCGTTATGTGAACACGCTTTTTCCCATGGTGTCGTGTAAACGCGCCGTGGCCCTGTACTCGATATGTTGCTGGTTGTTGGGAGTTAATTTCCGAATTCAATAGGGGACGTTGAACAATAGAGGACAATAGGGTCCCTAATCTCACGAAGGTCCCCAATTTACGATCGTGTACAAAACATATGGGAGGTCTTACTAAAAAGTTAGTGCAAACAAAAGAGGGACAATAGGGGGTCCCGGATTGCAGGCAAATACACATTTGTGTGCGTGTACAACCACTGCCTTGTTTTGGTACCCCACAAGTTTTTCACGAAATCGATACATGGATTTTACTCAAAAACTAGGAATTTCCAAGGTGGGTTGATCCGTCGCAAATGGAAGAGTTTTAGAAAAGGGATATTAAGTCTGAATTTCAGCCCGGGAACTTAACTATGGTTAAAATAAGAGCATTTTGACATAAGTGTGCGACGTTGCAAAATTTTAGTACCCGAGAACAAAGGAAGTACCCCACTTCTATGCCTATGTAAGCGTGTGTGTGCGTGTAGGTGGTTGTGCTAGGGTGTGTAAGTTGGTGGATAGTTTACTAGGCCCATATTTTGTTTGGCAGTTTGCGTTATACGTAAATATATTCATTTTATTTACAAATAAGTTTGTCACATTATCTCATTATTTTCAACTATATACTTTTTGCGACAAAATTATTTAGAAATATTTTGTCAATGTAATGTCATTCGATCTTTTGCAACATAATTTTATGTTATAACTATAATTATTTCCAAAAAATGTGCATGCATGTTTTCTTGTTGGCAAACAAAAGTCATTAGATAATTGCTAGCAAAGACATCACGCCGCCGTACACACACATCACGCCGGTAAAAGGGGCACTGGGTCCTGCAACAGCCCAATTGGGCTACAAAACGCGCGTTGAACGAGATGATGTTAATCGGAAAGAACATTTAAAAGTACGATATAAACATCCACACAACAATCCTTTCACAACTGGGCGTGTTTGTGTTATGCGTGCGAGAACGATTTTCGGGGTCCACTTTTGCGACCCCATAAATTCGAGCTGTTTGGATGCTAGTTGTGATTTCAATCGTAAAGTGTTCGCCTTTTGCGGACGTTGAAGAAACCCTTTTTTACATTGGTGATTGGTCACCGCTGTTCCCGAGACACACAACGTGCCAATCGTACATTGAGAAAATGTACGTATTCGCACCCCGTCGTGTCCGATGTAAACAAGCGCTTTTCCCCCGTCTTTTCTCGGGTAACGGTTGGTTTTCTTTCAACCAGATGTTTGAAATAGGCTAAGTAAACGATCAAAAACATAAAATTTTCGGAGATTTCAGGACCTAGTGCCTTTTTAAGGACAGACGTCACGCCTTCTTAGTGACCTTTATGGAGTACCGAAGTGAATACGTCAAGCGCACAAAATGTGTGTAAAAGACATTAGGGCGTAATTCAGCCCGAGAACCAACACACGCGCGTACTCCATTCGTTTGCAATGTTTGCGCTACACTTTCTGGTTCTAAATGACGTCACATTCGGTACTCCAAAGTACGCCATAACACACGGCCAATTACCGACTTGATTCCAAGTTACGCTCAAAAAGGGACCAGAGGTCGATCGACACCAATGCCGGATGTTGAAAGGATGAAACGAAAAAACATTTGCACGAAAATATAAACTGAAATACCTGTGTCAGCATTCTCTTCCTCCGTTGGTATTCGTTGTTGCCCATTTCCTGCAAGCAGAGGTACAAACCAGAATAAACGGCATCACTATGAACGCATTGATATGGTTTAGATATAATGGTATTTGGAACGATGCTTTATACATGAATAATCTCATATAATTCCCTTTGTTCATTTTTTTGTCGGCATAAACGTTTATTTCATATTGAGATGATCTGGAATGGTCGAGCTCGTTATTTGAACGAACACGTGGGCCGTAGAAATTAGTGAATGTATTATTTTTAAAAACGTTAATTTTCTCTCTATACACAAATCCACTGACACCCACGCCTTTTCAGTTGAATACGAAGTTATTTTTGTTTCATTTTTACTTTCTAATAGTTGTTTTCTTACCTCGCCGTCTTCTGCGGTAATTGAGATACAATCCCACTGTAAGAACGACAGAAACAAACTGTTTTCAGTACTTCTTGGTTTTGCTTTAAGTTGAAATTATCAAACAATGTAGGGCAAACTCGGCAAAGCGGAAAAGCTTTTACTTTTGGTAATTTCTTGAGATAACGTTGGCTATGTGATACGTTGATACCCGCCATTTGATAAAGATGGCTCATTGGCTTACTGCCATATACATAAAAAAAACGACGAATCATCAAAGAAAAGACAATCTACAACAGCAAAATATCCGAAATTCCAGCAACTTTTTGTGCTAATAATAGCGGTATTATTGAGGTTTTTGCCCGGAATGACTTTTGCTCATAAATATGAAAATTCGCAGCAGCACAAAACCCGAAAAAGCTCCAAAACACCCTTCAAAATGGCAAAATAAGGTAGAGTAGGACACAATGGTGCCTTTCCAAGGAAAACATTAAAAAGTACATTGCATTGGCCCTATAGGTTTGTAGTATATAGTTTTAGAAAGATGCACGTATCCCATCCAATCCGCATAATAGTACCATCCTATTCGATCCAGAGGGAAGTACAAAGAAAGTTTACAAGATGGAATGACAGAAACCTCCCATCCTGGAAGTTCAACTCTAACTTAGCTGCAGGCGCGGCTATAGATCCAATATTTTAGGGGTGGGGGTGGGGGCTAGACCCTTCGCACGTGCCGTCACCTTATATATTCACCTTATATATTTCGGCAAAATTACCGAACAGCCTTTGTTTTTGTTAAGATTTCCCCTTTTTTTGCAGCCATTTCCCATTGCATTTGTACATGTTTTCATCGTGCATGGCACTTTGGGCAATAAAATCTGATTGCCTTTATTCTTGGCACACACTTAGAATAGCACCTGCAGATGTATGCCGAA